GGCCAGTGTGGACTTCTAAGGTGGTGACAGTTGAGTTGAGACCTAAAGAATTGACTAATGCCCAAGTCAATGCCCAAGGCTGGAGCCAGGGTGTAGGCAATTAGCAGCCCGGAGAGTATGATGAGCCTGAGATGGGAGCAGTTCGCAGGGCTTTGGGTAAGGAACTTGAATAGGGAACCATTGAACGGTTTGAGCACGAGAGGGTCATAATCTGGTTTAAAAGATCTCTCTTCCGGGGTGCTTGGGTGGCTCAGTCATTGGGTGTCTGCCTTCGGCTCAGGTCATGATCCCAGGGTCCTGGGATCGAGCCCCACGTTGGGTTCTCTGCTCAGCGGGAAGCCTGCTTCTCCCTCTCCCACTCCCCCTGCTTGTGTTCCCTCTCTCGCTGTGTCTCTCTCTGTCAAATAAATAAAATCTTAAAAAAAAAAAAAAATCTCTCTTCCTGAGATGGGGAGAGCAGATTGTAGGGGGCAAGAGTGGAAGCAGGGAGACCATGTATAAAGCTATTGTAGTTTTGCAGGTGAGAAATGGTGGTGGCTGTGGAGGCGGAGGGAAGCGGATGGATGCTGCTGCTGTGAATAGATTTGTGCATGATCTTGGTACACACCTGAGTATTTCTGCAGGATTCATTCCTAGAAGGGGAATTGCTGCATCGGAGTATGAATAATAATAGCTGACATTTATTAAGTGCTGCCTATGTGCCAGGTGCTATTTTAAGTGCATTTCATGTAATTGAGCCATACGTTAGCTGTAAGCTTGTAAGCTCAGGGCCTCTAGTATAGTTAAGGATTAAAAATACAAGCATGATATTCAGTGTTGATGGCAGCTGAATAAAAAAACCTCTCAAGCAGGGGCACCTGGGTGGCTCAGTTGGTTAAGCGTCTAACTCTTGGTTTTGGCTCAGGTCAAGATCTTGGGGTCCTGGGATCCAGCCCTGTGTAGGGCTCCTGCTCAGCAGGGAGTCTGCTTCTCCATCTCCCTCTGCCCCTCCCCCCACTCACGCTCTCCCTCTCTCTCTCTAAATAAATGAGTGAGTAAGTAAAATCTTTAGAGGTAGAAGAAAACCCCTTCCAAGCAGTCAGAGTCTAGAGTTCTATAGGAGGTACGGATTTTGGAGAGGCTATGTGGCTAAATGTGATTTTTTTGTCAGAGGCATTTATAAGTTGCAGTGCTTCAAGAGCTCAGAGGAGGGAGTGCTCACTTGAGTCCGCTGTGGTAAGAGGGACTTTTTGAGGAAATGGAATTTGAATTGGGGTTTGAAGTCTGGGGAAAAGCTCGACTAGGCCTCGAGAGGAAGAGAGTGTATTTCACGTGTGGGGAATGCTGTGATCTGAAGTTGGCAGGTGGGAAATGGAAGGCATGTCTGGGAGGGAGGAATCTGGTGCTGGTGGGAGAGGCAGCTGGAGAAGTGGGAGACAATACTGAAGGCCTTTAAATGCCAGCTTTAGAATTTTTCTGTCAGATTTTTTTTTGAAAATCGGGAACCCACCTATCACTGAACCCTTTTGGGGTTTTATTTTGTTATCATTTTTTGTTTTTTAAAGATTTTTGTTTGAGAGATGGGGGGGAGAGCTCACGAGTAGGGGGAAGGGCAGAGGGAGAGAGACAAGCAGACTCCCTGCTGAGTGTGGAGCCCAACGATGGATCCTAGGACCCTGAGATCATGAGCTGAGCCTAAAGTCAGACGCTTAAGAGACTGAGCCACCCACATGCCCCTTGTTTTTTGTTATAAGTAGGCTTTATGCTCAGCATGGAGCCTAGTGTGGGGCTTGAACTCACAACCCTAAGATCAAGACCTGAGCTGAGATCAAGAGTCGGACATCTAACCGACTGAGCCACCCAGGCGCCCTGTCACCAAGCCCTTTGGTAATAATTAGGGTAATGGGGTTGAGAAGTTCAGTAAGTCCAAGTAACATATATTGAGCATCCGTTGTGTGCCAGGGATTATGCTAGATGCTTTTGCACACACATTTTGCCAGGTTGTCAAGGAGATTAATCGACAGGAAATCACAGTTGGTATCCCCATTTTACAGATGAAAAAACTGAAGTTTAGAGTGATTGTGCGGATTGTCCAGATCACCCAGTTGGGAAGTGGCAGAATTCAAACCTAATTTTTCAGACCTAGAGGGCATTTAGTGATTGGCAGTGCCCATTGCTGAAAGAAGAGCAAAGAGAACAGAGCCTGAGAAGAATTTAGTGGGTGTAGGGATTAGAGGCCTATTGTTTGAAGATACAATTTCCCAGGGGAGAGCTGGGCTATTCTAGCTGTATCCTTGGAGTACTGGAGCAGCCAAACAGGACAAAAAACCCAGAACTTAGCACTCTGGAATTCCAGGAGGGGCAGTGTTGGGTCCAGGTGAAGGGAAGACTTATAGATTAACAGTGACAGCAGAGATCTGGAAGGTACAGCTAAATGCAAGGGTGCTCAACCTTTCTGATGTCTAAAGGTTTGGTATGTGTACTCTTCTTTTTGGAAACATTGCCTGTTATATGCGCTGATTCTGGAGGGATAGGAGCTCCTCTGGAAAGTCACATAGCTTTTCTTCCTCCTTCCACCCACTGGTATAAATCTCTGATAAGCGTAGTACTCATTGCTAGCATCTTTGTTATTTACCTTGCTTGTATTTTGTAAGCCCTTTTCCCAATTCCCTTCTATTTTAGTGAAGTGGAATTGTCACTTGAAAGGCTTGTGTCTGCTAGCCTGTGGTTGGCAGTGGGGGAAGGGCCTGATAGAAGAAAAGCCATAATGGAGAAGCTGAAACCCAGACATACGCCTTTGAAGGAAATGTTGTCAGTATTCCCCCTCCCCCCAATTTTACCCTTGGGTTGTATTAGCAAAAGAAATCCAGTATCTGCTAATATCAAGAATCAGTGCAGGATCCTATTTTGTCAGCCACCATCCTCATTAAAGATCTCTAGTCTAATTACATGCAAGTATCCATAATTATTAGTACCATTTTTAGAAGAACTTCTACATGTTCTCCCTAATACTAGTGCAAGTTGAAAATCGACTCATTTCATAAAGTTTTTAAAAAATTTTATTCATTTATTTGCCAAAGAGAGAGAGTGAGCGAGCACAAGCAGGGTGAGCGGTAGGCAGAGGGAGAAGCAGGTTCCCCCCTGAGCAGGGAGCCCGACACAGGGCTCCATCCCAGGACCCCGGCATCACGACCTGAGCTCAAGGCAGACACTTTATCAACTGAGCCACCCAGGCGTCCCCTCATTTCATAAATTAAGAGCAAACTCGTTGGCCAGCCAAACTTGAATTTATGTGAGATTGTTCTTAGTTCTCACTGATACTTTTCAGTGTGAATAGTCATACATTTGCTGCAAAAATATTAATGGGTTTGATTACAGGGTGTACTGCCCAAGATCTGATGGGGTTTCATAATAAATGATGTAAATTCTATTTCTTTTTTCAAATCCAAAAGATTCTGATTTTGAAACCCTCTGGTTCAAGGGATTTCAGATATGAATCCATGGACCTATACTGCCTTCCACTGCCCTCGGAGTGAAGTCCAGACTTCTTCTTCTTCTTCTTCTTTTTTTTTTAATGGAACTGCAGGGTGGGGATTTTCTTTTCTTTCTTTCTTTTTCTTTTTAATTTTTTAATCAGAGTGAGAGAGCAAGCACAAGCAGGGGGAGTGGCAGGCAGAGGGAGAAGCAAGCTCCCTGCTGAGCAAGGAGCCCGATGGGACTCGATCCCAGGACCTTAGGATTATGACCCGAGCTGAAGGCAGCTGCTTAACTGGCTGAGCCACCCAGGCATACCCAGACTTCTTCTTCTTCTTCTTTTTTTTTTTTTTTCCACATGCATGAATGTGTGGAGGGAGGAACAGAGAGAGAGGGAGGGAGAGGGACAAGCAGACTCCTCACTGAGCATGGAGCCCATCTCAGGGCTCCGACTCACAACCTCTAGATCATGACCTGAGCTGAAATCAAGAGTCAGTTGCCCAACTGACTTGAGCCATCCAGGCTCCACTAAGTCCAGATTTTTTGAGACAGCTGGACATCTGACTACCTTTTTTTAAATCTCATCTTTTGTGACTTCACACACTAGAATGATCCAAACACTTTCCAAATACACCCTCTTTCATGCCACCCTGTTATTGCTCATACTACCCCTTTTCACCTTTGCTTCTGCTGTCATACTAGTCCAAGCCTTCATTCTCGCTTGCCTTAACTGTGACACTCTTCCCCCTCCAAGAGTCCATCCCCCCATGGCTTTCTATTGTGCTTAGATAAAATTCAGCCCTTACAGTTCCTGTAAGAGCCTTCATGATGTGGCCCTGGTTCTGTGACCCACCTCCTACTGTTCTTCCCTTTGCTCATTGTTCTTCAGCCACTGTCCTGTCTCTGAAACATGCCAAGCACTCTGCTTCAGGGCTTTTATACTTGCTCTTTTTGTACTTGCTTTTCTCCCAAATATGTGTATATTCGTCCTTCATTTCATTTTGATTTTTGCTCAACACCTTCTCAGAAAGGTCTTCATGATCAGTCTGAGTAAAATAGCATCCTCCATCATTCTTGATCTATATCCTGCTTGATTTTCATCACTTTTTTTGTTGTTGTTCTAAGTAAGCCCTTCTACACCCAATGTGGGGCTTGAACTCGTGACCCTGAGATCAAGAGTCACTCTACCGACTGAGCCAGCCAGGCCTCCCTGACTTTCATCACTTTTTGACATAATCCTATATCTTTGTCTATCTCTTCCATAAAATAAAAGCTCCAGGAGGGCAGGGATTATGTCTGTCTTGTTCACTGCTGTATTTCTATACCTTAGAAGGGTGCCTGGCATAGTAGGTGCTCAATAAATATTTGTTGAATGAATTGTTCTTTGCAGGATGGATTAGAGCCTCTTTCCTAGATTTTAGGCCATGATGCTTCTGTGCATTTAATGAAAACCAAAATTACTTCACTGTTATTTTGACTTGTTTTTCAATGATTCGATGAAACTTCCACTGTCTTCTGTCACCTGGTTAACAGTGTCTGCCTTACAGGCTGCGGGCCTCCCGGGTGCTTCTTGTCGGCATAAAAGGACTTGGGGCTGAAATTGCCAAGAATCTCATTCTGGCAGGAGTGAAAGGACTGACCATGTTGGATCCTGAACAGGTGAGATGTTTGGCCACCTCGTCACTCTTCCTTCACCGTCTCCCCTCTTCAGTATGAAACCCTTGGAGGTTTTGTGAATCCCTACATGCCCCTGCAGGCTGTGAATGGAGGACTGGCATTAGTGGAGCTGTGGCCTTTGGCCTCATGGCACTGGCATGTCCTAGGTGGTCGACCAGTGAGACTCCTGTTTCCTGCTAGAGCTTACCTGTCGGTAAAGTGTAGTTCATCTGTCCCTTGGAGGGTGACTTTGAGGAGGAGAGGGGTGGTTTTGTTAAGGTATAGCTAGCTTTCACAGCCCCAGTGATTCTGCTTTAGAAGGTCTGAGATGTGGCTCAGGAATATATACATTTGAAAGGTATCCCAGGAGAGCTTCACTGTAGACCGTTCATAGCCATTAGTTTGGAAAACAGTGGATCGGAGAGAATGGATGCAGACTGCTTAGCATGGTGCTGGCACATAATGAACATCTGGTAATAATTATATGACATACCATTTAATTGATAATACAATAGTCTTTCTCATCTCCAATGTAGATTTCTCTGACCAGTTTTTCCAAGGTGAAAATAACTTCTTTCTCTATATTCTCATGCTTCAACGTTTTTTCTTTTATAGAAAATTTCAAATATATACAAAAGTAGAATAACATTTGACGCCCCATCTATCTGATTTCTACAGATAACTATATATATATATATATATATATATTTTGGTCTGTATTTTTTCCCCTGTATTTTTTTGGATGGTATTTTAAAGCAAATTCTAGAAATCATGTCGTTGTTGTTTAAGATAAAATACTTGAAAGGTTGTGTCATCACATGATACTATTTGTGTCTTTCCTTTTAGGCAATGAACATGCTAAGTAGCACACAGTGAGGTATAGGCTCTGTGGAAGAAAGCAAATGTTGATGAAACTTTCATCTCGTTTGGGTTTCAGAGAAAAGTAATATCAGGATTTTAAAAAAATTCTCCTACAATGAAGAGAAATGTGGGTTAGCTCACTTAATATCACAGTCACAAATTGATTTTTGACTTGAATTCAAAACCTTCTAAGGAAAGAAAATTCCTGCAAGCAAACTGCCAGATCAGTCACTGGCTGAGCACTTGCAGTTTTGACATCTCCCCAACCACAGTGCCCCCTAGAGGCGTTTGGAGGGAGAATTTGTTTGCAGTGGAGAGAGGGTCGCAGTGGAGAGAGGGTCCGAGTGGAGAGAGAGCCAGGGAAGTATGGTTCCCCAAATGTGGAGGCCCTCGGTGTGGGAAAATGAAACCAGGTGGGGATGATGACTTCCTCATCTGGTTGCGAGAGTCTGAGAATGGGGAACAATGATATAATACTGAGGCGTGTGTGATGGAGTGTTGTCACTGCCTCAGGACAGTGGGTGCCACCCAGTGTTGGAGTGAACAGCCTGACCGTTATCCCTTCCGTCTTCACTTTGAGGACCTATAGTGCCTTCCACCTACCTTCCACTGCAAAGCCTAATTCCTCTGACTGGTTTTCAAGGCCTAACACAGTGGTTCTCAATCCCATCTGTGCTTTTGAGTATTTTGGGGGAATTGTTAAAAATAAAAGTTCTCCAGGTGAGTCTAAAAGTCAGGGAGGGTTGAGAACCACTGACTTCATGTAACCTGGGCCCAGTGAACTTACCTAGCCTGACTCCCACCTCATAAATTCATGGACACACTTTGGTTGTTCTGCCTTGTTGCAATTTGCTTGTGCTCTTTTCGCCCTGACTAGGAACATCCCAGGAGACCGTGCTACCTAGTGCAAAAGCTCTGGAATTTTGCAGACTTGGACTCAGATCCCACCCCTTCAAGCTGGGCGAGAGGCTTAACCTCTCAGGGACTCAGTTTGCTATCTATCTATCTATCTATCTATCTTTATTTATTTATTTATTTTAGTACCCAGTGTGGGGCTCCAACTTGCAGCGCTGAGATTAAGAGTCTCATGCTCTACCAACTGAGCCGGCCAGGTGCCCCTCAGTTTGCTCATTTATAAATCAAGGATGTTAATTCCTGCCCTTCAGAGTTCAGAGTGTTTTATTTTGTTTACATCAACAAATACCCAAGAGTACCTGCTGGCTACCCTATCTAGACACTTGTGATACAAAGATGCACAAAATTTGGTTCCCATTCTCAAGGTTTCTTTAGAAACCAGAGCAGGCTCCTTGACTCAGGTTGTGGTAGGGGTACACAAAAGGCTTCGTGGAGCTGTGATCTTAGCTGAGGCTTAAGGAACAAGTAGAGATTTCTCAAGTGGTGGGGCTGTGTTTTAGGCAGGAAACATTAGCAGTGGCACAGAACAACATGGTAGAAATAGAATATGGCGAGCAGTGCTCTTTGGTGTTTTTAGAATGAGAAGCCCAAAGTGGGGGCGTGCAGGTTGTAGGTAAGGTCTAAATCATGAAGGCCCTGCTAGTAAGCCTTGCTGTAAGCTTGTACTCATCCTCTGGGTGGCAAGGATTCATTAAAGAGTTTCAAATGTGGGATGGGTGACCTGGTCAATTTCAGGCCTTCTGTAGAACAGTAGTTACTATATATGATTTGCACAAGATACAGTGCAGAAGATCACTTAGAAGGCTGCTTTAGTTAGGTGAGAGATGAAAAGGGTCTGAGTAATAGCACTAGTGATTGAAAAGACAAGAAGCACATAAGAGGTGAAAAATACGAGGTGGTAGAATCAGTAGGATCATATACAGGAGCACAGGGAAAGCAAGGAATCACTGTAGTAGCAGATACTTCCTGAAGGTGCTGGATCCTTTTCTTTCTAAGAGCTGTAGTTGTATCTCATTTAGTTCTCACAACTCTGAGATGTAGGGATTGTCATCCCTATTTTACAGATAAGAAAACTGAGGAAAGGGAAGTGACTTGCTGGCCCACTCAAGGTCATAGTAGTTGGTGGTATGACGAGCACCCAGGGAGTCTGACTCTAGGTAGAGCCCATGCTCTTAGCTACTTTGTCAGGTGGCTGTTAACCAAGGACATAACATGAATATAAAGATTGGGGTTTCTGACTTAAGTAATTGGATGGTTTGTTGGTAGGCTCATCAGTTGACCAAAAAAATAGTCAAATATGAATATTCAGGAGGAAATAGCTGGTGGGCAGTTTAATACAAGACTCTGATGGATCAGTTAGCAGTCTGTACCAGTAGGAACAATTTGAGAAATAACCAGCAGAAATTAAAAGTAGTGAGTTTATGGAGCTATGCAGAGCAAAAAGATGAGTAATTCTGAGATGGAATCCTGGGGACACCACACCCAAGAGGGTCCATGTAGAGACTGGATGTCCGGGGCGGGAAGAGCAGAGCAACACAAATAGAGTGATTATAGTAAGTGTACTGTTTTTATTAATCTCATTTTGCATGTGATTCCTATATACTTGTTCAAGGTCACACAGTTAAGTAAGTGGTTGACCTAGGATATGAATCAAAGATTTGAATTCAACTTGAATTATTCCAGAGCCTTGCTCTTAACCACTATGATATACAGCCTCTCAGTATGTAATGAGATCCCTGAAGAAGTAGGACAGGATGGGTCAAGGATACTGTTAGAGGGCTGGCCTTGAATGGGAGGAAGACGAGCTCATTTTCTTGAAAGAAAGGTAGTAAGGGAGAGTATGTGCCGTGGATAGTTGGCTGGAGGAGAGGAGGGGGATTAACTTGTGTTGTGTCTTGGTGAAGGTAGCAAGGTCATACTGGAGATTAATCGTTAAAATAGATGTTTGGTGTGTGAACAAATGCTGTGAACAGAATGGGATCTGTAATCCTACTGGCAGCTGTCAGGTGATTTTATTATCTATCTTTGAGGCTCTCTGCTGACATCCAGCCTTGTGGGTGAAATCCTCACTTTGTTCCAGCCCTACTCATCTCTCCTCCTTTCTGAATTTAGTTGAATTTAACAGTTAATTTCAGGCATTCTTAATTGTGCCTGATGTTGGCACTGGTCTGATTTTATTTATTTACTTATTCTTAAAGTTTATTTATTTATTTTAGTAATCTCTATACCCAACACGGGGCTTGAACTCACGACCCCAAGATCAAGAGCTGTGCACATTCTTTTGACTGAGCCAGCCAGGTGTCACTCACTGGTCTGATTTTAAACCAGTTGTGGGCAGGGACTACATCCTTTATTGATTTATTTATTTTTTTAAGATTTTATTTATTTGATAGAGCACAAGCAGGGGGAGTGGCAGAGGGAGAAGCAGGCTCCCCGCTGAGAAGGGAGCCTGCCTTGGGACTCAGTCCTAAGGGCTCAATCCTAGGATTCTGATCCCAGGATTCTGGGATCATGACCTGAGCTGAAGGCAGATGCTCAACTGACTGAGCCACCCAGGCGCCCCAAGGACTACGTCCTTTAAACTACTATTGTTTGTCTCCAGATGCTTAAAATTGGGAACGTAGTAGGTATTGTAAATTCTTACCACTGATAATTATGTCATTTTATTAGCAGTTACAAATTTAAGTGAAAGAAGAAAAGTGTGGACTTTTCTGTTTAGAGTGAATTTTCTTTATAAACACAAGGGGGTGCTCTTTAACTATCAATGCCAAGTAAAAAAAGTTAAATGTCTCTAAAGTCTCTGAAGGAATGAGTGTAGGGAGTCTGCATTAGGCAAATTCCTGCAAGAACAATAATACAATTAGATGGTAGATATTTTAGTTATCCTTTAAAATGGAAAGGTTTGTTGTTTTTGAGAATTTGTTTTCCCCCCACAATTCAAGTATTAAAAAAATATTATTTCTAGGTATCTCCAGAAGACCCCGGAGCTCAGTTCTTGATCCGTACCGGATCTTTTGGCCGCAACAGGGCCGAAGCCTCTTTGGAGCGAGCCCAGAATCTCAACCCCATGGTGGATGTGAAGGTGGACACGGAGAATATAGAAAAGAAGCCGGAGTCATTTTTCACTCAGTTTGACGCTGTAAGTTTCATAGAGTGTAAAATCTTAAGGCTCAGTACATTGCCTGCGTGATCTCAAGTGTGACATTGCCTTAGTGTATGTGCCTTACTAGCACATTGCCTTGCCATGTTGAATGTGTTGGTAGTAGATCCAGTCTGTTGGATCTGCTGTAGCTGTTTGTGATTTGCTGTCTGCTGCTTTCTTCTTTGGGCATATGTTCCCTTACACCACGTTTCATCGTTGGTGTTCTGTACTCCTTCCAGAATCTTTCCATATAGCTTTGATACATTTTACTGCAAGTGTTTTCTCCAGAAAACAAGTTGGTGGCTAATTTCTGTAGTAGAGGCATTTTTTTGGTTAGAAATATCAAACTACAGCTTGTGTTTTGTCTTAAAAAAAAGAGCACACCTGATCTTGGTCTGTCTGTCTCTTTCACACAGCCACTTTGACCGTGTTGCCATGGATAACTAGACAAATTCACTGTAGTCATAAGCCAAATGAGGCATATCCAGCCTCATTTGGTTTCACTGCCAGATCTATGCAGAGGTGAAAGGATAAGTTAAATTCTGTTTCAGCATCTGTGACCTTTCAGACATGGTTCCCTGTACCAAGGAAAAGCTAAACAAATGTTGGATAACCATGAAATAGTCACAGATGATCTACTTGTTTTTTAAATGAGAGGCCTGTTACATGAGAGGTTAGAATTTGGGCTGGGTAGTTTGTTTTTCCACACTGTTTTATTTCATATGTGCATCTGTTCAGATATGTGCTTGGAATGATGGATCATCTGTGCGTTTTGTCTTTTTTTTTTTTTAATTTAATTCATTCTATTTTGTAACTCCCAAGTATTGGAACATTTTCTGTTTGAACAAACCTCTTCTCTTCATTTCTTTATCCGTAGTAACTACATTTGGTTAATTCTAGGTGTCCCTTGCATTTCTAGCACTTAAGAGAGAGGGTTTGTTCGAACTGAAGCACCGGGCCAGTTGGCTGTATAAAGCATGTGCATGGGGCGAGGATCAGTGTCTCATGAGCTATGTGTGACTGGGCCTCTTAGGTTTTGCCCTCACTTTTGACTCTGCAGGGTTCCATTTGGTCAATGCTGCATGTTCAGCTGTGACGTCTTGCCTTTTAGATTTGATTTTTTTCCTTGGGTGTTTTCATGTTCAGAAGAAAACTTGTGCAATTTAGAAGTTGTCTTCATGACCCTTATCACAAAGGTTTTCCTGAAAAGATGGTGTTTCATGCAGTAAAACTTAGCTATTTCCAGTACCTCAACTTTTGGAACACAACATAGAGGCCTCAGAGCAACATTGATAATTCCAGTGAGTGAATCACCGGTTCATTGTCTACGTCTGAATGGAAGGTCACTTGGTGTGTAACCTTTTCTTTTGTCCTTAAATTCAGATAAAGTTTCACGTTGAAAACTGTGGAAAACTAATCTCAACAGGACTTGTTTATCTTCTTTATCTTAACATATCAATCAAAACAAGGAGGGAAAAATGCCCTCGAATTTAAGTATGACCCTTGGGTCACTTAAAACTGGTTTTGCTTTTCATGATAGCTTATTCAGATTTTAATAGATTAAATAATTTAGAAATAACTTAGACTAAATTATTACTGTCTTTTCCCTTTTCACAAAAACTTTGAGGTATGGTTTATATATGTTCATAGAACAGGGGAAATAAATTCATTGAATGGCTTTTACTTTCTAGTTTAAACCCATTTTGTTTTGATTGCAGAAAGTGGAGGTCTCACAATTTACATTTCTAGTGAAACCTGCAACTTTTCTTTTGTCTTCTAACCATAGGATCCAAAGAACCTGTTATTCCAGTTTGAAACTGGCTTTAGACGTGCCCAGAGAGACTGTTCATTAAGATTTATTTGGACATCAGGGCAGTGATTCACATTTTGCAAAACTCACACCCAGCCAATTCTATCTTTCTGCAGGTTTGTCTGACTTGCTGCTCCAGGGATGTCATAGTCAAAGTTGACCAGATCTGTCACAAAAATAGCATCAAGTTTTTTACAGGAGATGTTTTTGGCTACCATGGATACACATTTGCCAATCTTGGAGAGCATGAATTCGTAGAGTAAGTTTTGGGAGAGGAGGGGAGAACATAATATTTTCAGAAGAAAATATAGTTTTATTCACCGGTAGGAAACAACCCATCTAAGGAAAGTATGCTTAGAACACTTGGCAACCAGTTCATTAACAGCCTACTGATTATATAGGTTGTGTGTTCATAATTGTAGGAGATGTGGCCCTTGTTTTCAAAATAATGGTCTAATCTAAAGCAGAGTTCTTACGGCAGTTAAATATACCACGTGGGTATTTGATCAGCCTGGACTTCAGTTGGTGAAACCACACCTTCTGTGTATGGGAGACTTGCTTGGATTGTAAACACGTGTTCCTCAGTTTTGGCTTCTGTGTTTTCAGGTTGATAATAAAATGAGTACGAAATAGTTAAGATGGGTAACTCTGAAGGCACAGGCAGCCAGAGTCTGTCTTGGAAAAGCTCCAAAGTCCAGAGACTGCTCTGGTGTAACAAATAGACCTTATCCTCTCAGTTTGAATATCAAGGTTGCAGACGGTGGTGATTCTCACATGATGGGACCTGCAGTGGTTTGAACTTGTAGCTTCTAGATGAAAGGTGGCAGATGATACCAGTATTGTTAAAACTATCTTGGGTGCCCGGGTGGCTCAGTTGGTTAAGTGACTGCCTTCAGCTCAGGTCATGATCCCGGAGTCCTGGGATCGAGTCCCACATCGGGCTCCCGGCTCAGCCGGGGAGCCTGCTTCTCCCTCTGACCTTCTCCCCTCTCATACTGTTTCTCTCTCTCTCTCTGTCAAATAAATAAATAAAATCTTAAAAAAAAAAAACAAAACTACACTGGGTTTTTGGCTGTTATTTCTGACAACCTCCCTTCTAATAAGAGGTAAAGAGAGATCCTGTGTGGTAGGTGAAGCTTCCTACCAAGAGTCAAGAATTGCTTTGTTTTGGGGCGCCTGGGTGGCTCAGTCGTTAAGCGTCTGCCTTAGGCTCGGGTTGTGATCCCAGGGTCCTGGGATCGAGCCCCGCATCGGGCTCCCTGCTCCGTGGGAAGCCTTTTTCTCCTTCTCCCACTCCTCCTGCTTGTGTTCCCGCTCTCGCTGTGTCTGTCTCTGTCAAATAAATAAAATCTTTAAAAAAAGAATTGCTTTGTTTTGTTCAGCTTCTTAGGCAGATCACTGAAATTTCTCTGGTCTGCAAATATCTTGTCTGTAAAATTGAGATGGGGGAAGGACAGACATGTTCAAAATCTCTCATAACTTTGGCATTTTATGGCTTTCAGAAACTCTGTAGTTTCTTGGGCACACTCTAAACGGATGGAGAAGTCATACTAGAGAAAAGCAGGCCAGATTATTTTAATGTGAGCTCCCCATGGCAGAGGGGAGAAATTAAGTTTGGCTCTATTTCATAATTCAAGTGAAATTTAAAAAGCTTGCTGAGAGCTTACTTTGCGCTGGGCAGTGTATGCTAAGCAATTCGTTATTTCTCATCATAAAATAATTCAGAGATTGTTATTCCCACATAGTGGGTAATTGATTTATCAGGTAATCATTGGCCACTTTGGGATTTGAACCCACTCAGATACGCCTGACTGGAAAGCTTTTGCTCTTTTTTTTTTTTTTTTAAGATTTATTTATTTTAGAGAGGGTGCACAATGTGGGGGAAGGGGCAGAGGGAGAGGGAGAGAACCTCAAGCAGACTCCCTGCTGAGCATGGAGCCCAACGCAGCTGTTGGTTCCCACGACCTTGAGCTGAAACCAAGAGTCACACACTTAACCCGCTGAGCCACCCAAGCACCCCAGGCTTTTGCTCTTAGCCACCATCCTATCGCGTGAGCTGGTGATGCTCTTCTTGTTCTAATGGCTTGATTCAGAGAGTAGAGTTCAATTCCTTTCCTTTGTCACTCTCTAGGGAGAAAACCAAAGTTGCCAAAGTTAACCAAGGGGTAGAAGACGGACCTGATACCAAGAGAGCAAAGCTTGATTCATCTGAAACGACTATGGTCAAAAAGGTATGTGTACTGTGAGGGGGTCAAAGATCAGAAACCTTGGAGCCTTGTTGGGGACAGGCAGTCACAACTGCAAGCAGGGGAAGCAAGCATGTACTCTTGAAGGGAGGGGTCTGGACAAGCCTGGCTAGTGCTTGTGCAACTTAAAGCGGGGAGGGGGTAGCTGCTGCTTAGTTTCAGCCAGCTGTTGTCATGAAGGAATATGGACCCGGTGATGCCGGGTGTTAATTTTTTTTTTTAAAGATTTTATTTATTTATTTGAGAGAGAATGAGAGAGAGAGAGTAGGAGCTGGGGGAGGGGTAGGGGGAGAGGGGGAAGCCGACTGCCCATTGAGCAGGGAGCCCGATGCAGGACTTGATCCAGGGACTCCAGGATCATGACCTGAGCCGAAGGCAGTCGCTTAACCAACTGAGCCACCCAGGCGCCCGCCAGGTGTTAATTTTTAACAGAATCAGAAATACGATTTTTTTTTTTATAGGTTCTGTCCCAAACTTTTTTTTTTTTTTTAAGATTTTATTTTTTTGGAGAGAGAGAGCGTGCGCATGCACAAGCATGCACAAGCGGGGGGAGCAGCAGGCAGAGGGAGAAGCCGGCTCCCCGCTGAGCAGGGATCAATGCAGGGCTCGATCCCAGGACCCTGGGATCATGACCTGAGCTGAAGGCAGACACTTAACTGACTGAGCCATCCCAGGCATCCCAGTACCAAACTTTTTAATACTGGCTACCTACTCACTTTGGTTTGAATGCTGTTCCTTTCACCCCGTGGAGGCTAGAGAGAACATGCCTGCAGGACTGACTTGGTGTGGGGGCCGATTGGAGCCTCGAGTATTTGGAGCAGTATCAGAACGACTGTTCTGGAGCAAAGGCCATCCCTCTTGCATAAAAGAAAGTTTTTTGGAGAGACAGACAATTTAGGGAAGTCCTACCTAAGTGGGCAGGAAGACAGTTTAAGCTTGAATTGTTTATGCTTTGCTTCTTCTAAAATGAAGTATTTGGGGACAGCTTTCCACCAGATAACCTTTTAAGAAGAAAGGCCTCAATGTTGACAAGTGTTATCATCCGGTGTGTATTTTTTAACATAGTTTTTAGGGGCTTAGGCTCTACTGGAGTTGGCGCAGTGATTTAAATCATTTTACAGAGAGAGCAGGGACTCGGAAGGAGATCATCTCCCCAGCCAGTGCTGGAATCCAAGAAGGGAGTCCTGCAATGGGGGAGACAACATGAAGGGGCCAGAATTGATTTTGTCCAACTGAGGAAAGACATGACCGAGTCCATATTTACTCTTTGCTTTGTAGATTTAAATATTGAGAAAGAAAAGCAGCTGGTCAGAGCTTCGAGTTAAAATTGCTCTAAAGGGGGGATTCTAAGAGCGTAGAAACCACAAGAGAGACTGCAGAAACCACAGAAGTGGAACTCGTTGAGTTTCCAGCAAGGCTGCGCCGGAGATTTTTGTTTTCTTGCTCTTTATGTTTGTATTGGAAGAGTTTGATTGCTGTGAGTGTGATATAGAGGAATTATTAAGCCCTAATTTTAGTGTCTATTCACAGGACCATAATTACCCAGAGTGAACATTGGTGTTTTGGCCAAAACTTGGGTCCTTTTCTTTCTCCCTTCTTTTCTTTCCTTTTGAGGCCCAGTTAAGCTTTATCTGAATAGCTCCGTGAGTTTGGTGGGGGGAGATAAATTGTTAACTAAGGAGGAGTACAAAAGCATCTTTGTGGGTGCTGTCAATTTATAAATCACACCCTCTTACAAGTGTGACACTTGGCCTTGGTGTGAAGGGTTTTATGGCTTAAGGGCCTTCTCTGATTGAGGCGGGGTCGTTCACAGTCAAATGGGGAGAGCGCCTAGCTTTGTTAGCCCTTCACAGCTGGAAGTTTCTCCCGGAGTCAATACTGATGGTGCCCACTGGGGCGGATCTGGAAACCGCTCTGGGGAGCCACTTTATCTAGCTATGAGGAGAATGTGGGCAGCCCGGGCAGGCACCCGGTGGCCTTCGCGTACCATTCCTTGGGCTCTTCAGTCACAGAGCTCTTTGTGCGGCCTCTTCCTCCAGGGGCCGAATTTGAAGGTATCAAAATATTCCCCAGCTGACATTGTTAGTCAGCTGTTTCACTTGGACAATTCAGGCTTGGATTCCAACCCCGAGCCCTTAAGGTTGTGAGGCATTCAGTGCATTCCTGATGACAATCCCTGGGATTCCAAACCTTGTCTTTGTGCGGCCTCACTAAGAGCACTGCGGAAGGACGGGCTTGAACTGGGTTTGGGCTCTGGCTTTGCCACCTTGTAATAACAGGCCTTGTCCATTTTGGCAGAGAATGCTCCTTGGAATTTGAAGTTTTCTTCCAACTCAAAAATTCCTTAATTGAGATTATGCCCCTTCGCCTAAATTGTACAGAATAGGTAGTTGGGTTATGCTCAAAGTGCAGGATGGGGGTGGGGAGGCAACCACTTCCTGTTTCCTGTGAAAGGTTTCTGGTTAGGGTTCCCTCCCCGCCCCCCCCCCGCCTTTTCCTTAGGTTCAACCAAATGTTGTATAGCCACTTTTGCTTCAAGGTACACATTGTGCTCCTAAATTAGAAACGTTAAAAAACAAAGAGGAAAAATAGAGCTTGTGGTTTTCACACCGCTTAGGAGGATACTGGGCCTTTCTAGCACATGTGTCATCATGATAAATACAAGAGTGGGAAAATTCTTAGCCCAGAGGTAGGTGCTCGGTCGTTGGCTTCCTCTGGTGCCCAGGAAAAGTTATGAGACAGATTTCATCAGAATCAGGTCTTGGGCATAATCCTAATAGAGATATCAGTGTAAAGTAGATAAGGGAGAGGGCAGTAGTTTTGTGATAAGGAAGTGTCCAGAAAGGTTTCCCAGAGTAAGAGTTGGTACATGAAGGAGAGTTTGCCAAGCACTGAACACAGGACCGGCATTTAGTCACAGGAAATGGGATCAACTGAAAGCACAGACGTAGGAACAGAATGACTCTGGCTTCCCTCACCCCGAAACAGCCAGGTCCTGTATCTGTGAGTTGCAAAATGCCTACTGTGTGCAAGGCATTCTGTGGGGTGCAGGGAAGTGCATCCAGTCCTGTTGTCTCTATTTACAGCTGCCACCAAAGCTAAGAGAAGTTCCTTGACTTGCCTGAGATCCTGCAGCTGTGTTAAGAGGGAGTGGACGGGGAGGACATAGACAGTGGCCGCGGGCACAGGCTTGCCCTGCCTCCTAAAGGGTGAATCCCCCTTGGAGTTTCTAGGATAATTTTAAGCTTTATGGTGATGATGGGATAAAATACATGAAAATTGGGACCTTTCTGGAAAAGCCTTCAGGATAAAAGGCCACCCTCATGCTCCCATGCTGCTGCTCATGTTTCTTTATTGTTAGGGCTGCCAGACACAGTAGATGCCTGGTGGTGGTGACTCTGCATCACAGCTCTTTAAAAATTAAACATAACAAAGGATTTGTTCGTGACATGCTAAGAAATACAGATTTAATTTTACCTCTGTTTCTGAAATAGTAAGGGACTAATTTGGGCACTGTTAATACTCTTGCATGAATCAGTTGTGAAATTCCACAGTTGAGTAGTGATTCATTATTTTGATCCCCCTTTCTGAGCAGTTTACGGACGACTCATCTCCTCTCACCCCCATCCTGAAGGGAACATTCCAGGGACTGACTGGTTTCATTCTTCACCTTGGTTTGTGATGCTGAGGGAACTTGTCAGGGTTTCTCTCCCGTTAGGGTCCAGGCTCCATAAGGGCTGGGCGCTTTTGTTCGCTGCTGTGTTCCTGGTGCAGTCCCTGGTACAGTCTTACCCAGGAAATGTTTGTTCAGTGTGTTGTGGCTGCTCCTGATACATAATAGGACAGCTTTGGAGATCGTAGTCATTTTAAAAAAGAATTACTGAGTTGACTTTCTTTGTGATCAACCAAATGGATTAATTAACCTCATAACACATTAGTTGTCATGGTTTACGTTATTTGAGCTGGGCTGAGAGAACAGAATTCCAAAAGAGGACAAGGGACTTGGCCAGGAATATTTAGAAGTAAGTCATTGGGTTGCCTAGACCAGGACCTTTAGACCAGAGGTGTTTAAAACCCTGCTAATTGTCAGAATCACTTGGTTTGGGGGTGGGGGGCAGGAGACGCAGGGTGCATATTGCAGAGTTGGGCAGAGTGCTGGTAGCAGATTTTCAAGGTAGGACAGGTGGGGGGTTGGGGGGGAGGTTTTGGCACTCTAGGAATGAGGGAAGGGGGTCTCTCCCAGCATCACGGCACAATCCAGTGTATTTTTTATTGTGATATATCCCCAAATAATGTGACATCAATACAGATTACAGAACATAACAACAAAACACTACCCAACTTAAAAACCCAAATATTTCCAGTCCTGTTGTACCAATCTATGTGTTCCTTCTCTGTCTTCTCCTCAGGGAGGTACGTTTGTGTGGATTTTAAAAAGTACGGGGGTGGGGGGCTGGTGCCTGGGTGGTTCAGTCAGTTGAGCCTCCAGCTCTTTGATTTTGGCTCAGGTCATGATCTCAGGGTCCAGGGTCGTGGGATTCCGTGCTCAGCGCAGAGTCTGCTTCTCTCCCTCTCTCTCTGCTCCTCTGCGTGCTTGTACGCTTTCTCTCCCTCTCTCTCTCAAAATAAATAACAACTACCTAGAAGGGGCGGTTATAGCCCTGCTTGACATGGCGTTTTACCACGTTTGTAAATCTAAACACTGGAATGTGATGTAGGTGTAAATTAAGAATGATGTAGCTAACTACCATGGACCCACCACCTAATTTAAAGCATAAAACTTTGCCAGCATGGTCAGGGTCCCCCAGCTATCCCTCCCCAGAAGTAATCACTACCCTTAGTTGTGGTTCTCATTCCCACCCATTTCTTCTTACTACGTATGTATTTCCAAGCAATATAGGATTGTTGGGTATGCTTTTTAACTTCTTAAAAATCAGGTTTAATATTGTATGCATGCTGCCACCTGCTTTTTAAGAGCAGCGTTA